TGAAATTTTGTTTAAAGAAATGTAAAAAAAAAATGTATTTCTGCAGTCATGACAAAGCTGGAAGGTAGGAAAAGGAGTAAGAAATAAGGGTGTTTAGATATTTAAGCCCACTACCCCAGTTTTCCCAGTAAATCATATGGCTATGAATATTCATTTAAAGAGCAAATGGATTCTCCAAGTGGGATTTTCCCTCCTTGACTGCATATTGGCTTTGTTCAGATTGGTTCTTTGTGGTTTCCTTTGGGATCTAACTGAGCTCTGGTGGTGGATGGAGAGGGAACGGTGGGCCATAGGTAAAGGCTGGTTCCCCATCAGCTAGTCCACTCCTCCACCCCCACGTCCCTAGTCATTTGTGCACATGCACATATACACAATTTCTTTTAGATGCAAATTAGTCTATTTCAGTCTATTGTGACTTGTGAAATTTTGTTTAAAGAAATGTAAAAAAAAAATGTATTTCTGCAGTCATGACAAAGCTGGAAGGTAGGAAAAGGAGTAAGAAATAAGGGTGTTTATAAGGGGTCTTTTTATTGTATGACAAAGATTGGAGGTGGTTTGAATTTTGGAGCTTATATTTGTTCAGAAAAGAAAACAGAGTTTGAGGGCTGAGGATGTGATCAGTGGCAGAGTGCTGGCTTAGCATGCACAAGGCCCTGGGTTCAAATGCCAGTGCCACAAAAAGCAAATCAAAGCCAGCTTGCCCATTAGCTGATCCTCAGCCCCCATTCTTCATCCTATTTTGAACATTTCTCAGACAGGAAATGGAACCACTGGCAGGTGCTCTTGTGTTGGGGGAGTGGGATGAAAAATAGCAGTGGCCTGCCATCTCTGATGGAATTTTTCTGGCTTGTGTTGAAAACAAGTCTGCTTATCCCTTCCATTAGATAATCATTGTAAACTAACGTGCAATTCAACATTTATTGACCACTCATGATGTGCACTCATTGGTTTGATTACTTTCCTTTCCCCACCTAACTTAATCCCTGCAACAATCCTGATATCATCCACATTCGCCTAATGAACAGAGAGATTAGGTCATTCGTGTCAAGCAATACTGCAAGTGAAGAGCAGGTGGAAATGACACCCACATGCTCTGACGCTTGAGGTAGATGTGTCAACTACTGAACAATGTCATCTTGCTCTTTTGTTGTCAAGCCATCTTCAGCGCTATGATCAGGACTGTGACAGTGCAGAAGTGAGGACCAGGCCTCATTTAGCACTTGCTGACCAGTGCCAGGGTTTGTATACAGAGAGGCCAGGGTAGCTCTAGGGATCTTGCTCAAGGCCATTGATTGTGGAAAGGCAGGGGACTCTGAAGGCCACCAGTGAGACCTGTGGGCAAGCCTAGAGGACAAAGAGAAAAGGAAGGGCTCAGTCCAGAACCAGGAGTCACTGGAGAAGAAAAGGAGAGGCTTGAGAACAAATCAAGAAGGGTCCTGGAGAGAGAGAGAGAGGGTGTGTGTGTGTGTGTGTGTGTGTGTGTGTGTGTGTGTGTGAACATGAGCAGATGAGGAAGCCATGCTGGGCTAGCCTCTGTGCCACTCCAAAGGCACAGGGCCAGAACAGATGGGTACAGATATAAAATAATCACCTGTTATATTGTAAAGTTTGTTGTTTGTGATGTTGGGGTTGGAGCCCAGGGTCTCACATATGCTAAGCAAGTGCTCTATCACTGAGCTACCTACCCTTCCAGTCCTCTTTTATATGGAAAGAAAATTATTCAACACCTCTCTCACCCCACACCCTGTAAAATGAATATAACACCTACCTCATTGGCCATTGGGAGGATTTAATGAAATAATGTGCACCTCCTAAGACTGCCTGGCCCTGTAAAATCACAGAGCAGCTCCTAAGCACTGACAAGTGCTGTGGATTTTCCTGAGCAGGGGAGGAGACAGCAGGATGTATCGTACACATCGTGAACACTTCCACAATGTCCTCCTCAGCTCCAGGGAGAGGAGAGTTGGCACTTCCCTTTATGAAGACCTTCACCTCCTTTTCTGCAACACACTACTTTCCCTCTATCCTACTCCATCTTCCCTGGCCTACCTGTCCTTGTCACCTTTGCCACCTCTCTAAATCCTTTAGCTCTTCTATTCCATGCAGCAAGCAAAAGCCACTCTACTAGTCAGTCTGATCAGCTGTAGTTCTCCAGGTGCATCCCTGCCTTGTTTATTAGGGTTATAGCCCATCATTTCACATGTGGCGTGCTTAAGCACACTGCATTAGTGTCTGGCTCACAGTAAGTGGCTGATAAATTGAGGTAATATTAGCAGTTGCTGCCAATGTCTGTCCCCTGATGTCAGGCCTGGGCCAGCAGACCATCACACCTGGGTTCTGATTGCCCAGGGGAGTAGATGGTTGGAGAGGAGGACTAAAGATCAAAGTACATCTGAGTGTACTGCAAGCTGGCTGGGCTCTCAGAGAACCTGCAGACATGTGGGCATTGCCAGCGAGCCTCCTGAAGTCACCAGAGAGGGCCTCTCGTTCAGGGTGGTTTGTTCTCCTTTTTGTAATCAGCAATAACAGTTGGTGAGAACAGAGGAACATGAGAAGGCCTTTGTCCATTCCCTCAGGGCAGACGACTCCATTTAGCTGTGAGCCCATAGTGGGCCCTAGAGAGAAGGCTGTGCCCTTGAGCTCCTGCAGCTGAGGCAGGCTTTGCTGTTGCTGGAAGGATCTGGGGCCTATGTCAGGTGACTACCCATCCTCCCTGAGGATTGGCAAGAAAATTAGGGTTTGGAGCCAGATATTTGTGCCTGTCCTCACCCCATCACCTTTTTTCACCCTTAAAGAACCTCTCGTTGGAACTAATGGTGACAGTGGAGAGAAGCACCACCAAAATCAGAAAATAATCAGATTTGCATTTGGAAGAGACTCCAGAGGTCATTCGTCTACTCCCTGGACACTTTCCACGAGAGGTGCTCACTTCCAGTCGCTTCCATTGCTGAGCCGCTTCACTTGTTAGAAAGCTCTTCTGAAGCCTTAAACAAAACCCATGTTCTTTAGTGTTGGTCCATTGCTGCCTCTAGAACTGCCAACCAGGCTGTTTTATTTAGCTTTGCTACCACCCCATTCCTTACCACCTACAATGGAACTCTTAAGCATCTTTGAGACCCAGGTGCATAATATATTGTCCTGCATCCTCAGCCAGTGATGTGAAGCATCATCTACCTCATTATCAGACACAGGATTGTGACTAGTGTGTTCATAATGTATTACTGGGCATTTGACATGGCTCCTCTGCTTGTTCCTCACCAGTCTCTGTCCCTCCCCTTCACAACATTGCCATCCCTTCACAGCATTCTAGATGTTTTGCTTATTTGTTATTGTCTAATTTTTTTCAAAGAATATAAACTCCATGAGACTGTGACCTTGACCTATATTGTCCTATACCATATCCCAGGTTTAGAATAATTCTAGAACACAAGATGTACTTGATCAATATGCGCTGGATAAATCAAGAGCCATTTCAGGGCAGTGAAGGTCTAGACTCTGTCAGTATTCATTCGAATACTCCTGAAAATGGCGAGTTGATTTTTTTTTTTTTTTTTTTTTTTTTTTTTTTTTTGTCTTTTTTGAGACAGGGTCTCCCTGTAGTCCTGGCTGGCCTGTAACTCACTTTGTAGACCAGGCTGACCTTGAACTCACAGAGATCCACCTGACTCTGCCTCCCAAGGCTGGGACTAAAGGCATGAGTCACCACACCTGGCTGTGAGTTGATTTTTAAAGGGCCAATCAGTAGTGCAGCAGTGATTCTAACCCTGGAGTTAGGGGACTTAGTGTCATCTAAACTTTGCACTTATATCTGGGTGAACTGTAAGCCAGATGTTAACTACCCTGAGGCTTAGTGTCATCCTCTGTAAAGTGGGATTGACAGTTTCTGCCCTGTTTTACTCATAGGATTCCTGAAGATAAAATATAAATATGTAAGAAAAGAGTTCTCTAAGTTAGAAAACACTATACAAATATTTTATGATTGACAATACATATTTTAAAATTTTATATATATTGTGTGTGTGCTTATGTATGCCATAGTGCACATGGAAAGTCAGAGGACAACTTTTCAGGAGTCCTTTCTTGTTTTGAGACAAGGTTTCTCTTGTTTCTGTCTCTGCACCTGTGTACTCCAAGTTATCTGGTCTGAAAGCTTCCAGCAGATTCTTCTGTCTTCATCTCTCATCTCACCGTAGGAGTGGTGGGGTCATGATGGACACACCCAGCTGTTTTACGGGGTTGCAGGCATCAAACTCAGGTCATCAGACTTGCTTGGCAAGGACTTCTACCCAATGAGCCATTTCCCTGGTATGAAATTATATTATTTCTAGTTAAAGGAGAGAAGATACAGGCAGCCTGAGAATGGATTTATCTTCCACTGGAGGTGAGTTAGTTTCTGGAGCTCTAGAGGGTGTGTGATTTCTACAGATATTTTTTGTGAGCTCACTTGCCAACACCATCAACAACAAATGCCTGAGTGCTGGCTGAGGTGGTGTTCTATGCGGCAGAGAACAAAACAGCAAAACCCCTGCCCCCATGGTGCTTATATTCTAGGTAAGACAGAAAGACAAAGAACAATAAATAAGTGAATTAGATACTATCTTAAGGTTGTAAGGATCAAGAAATAAGGGGAAAAAATGAACAAGAAAAGCAGGATAGGAAGTATTGGGTGGGGTTTGCAAGTTTAAAGGGTGGTGAGGGGCGATTGCATTAGAAGTGACACTGAGCAAAGTCTTGAAGCAGATGGGATTTATACGATTCTGGAAGAAAGCTTTCCAAGGAGAGAAAAAGCAAGTGCGAAGACCGTAGACTAAGGGGAAGGAGAGAGAGTGGTGATCACATTAGAGTGATAATAATGGCCAGATCATAGAGGGTCTTAGAGGAAATTGTGAGGGCTTTGGCTCTTTTATTTCGAGGGAGAAAGAGAGCAATATGAAAGTCATGAGAAGATGCATTACACGATCTGACCTCCCTTGGGGCTTATTCTTACTACAGTGATAGGACTAGATAGAGCTGAGCATAACTGGTTCCTTTCTTCGTGGGGGACTGGTGCCCAGTGGCTGGAGATAGCCACTTCCTTGTTAGTGTTTACAGCCTGTTGCTTGTGTACATTACCCTATGGGACCTTTAGAGACACTTTTCTGGTGGATAGTCATGTCTCCGATCTCATGTTGTGCCCAACCTAGGGTCCAGACAGGTATGCAAAGTACCTCTGGGAATCCCCAGGGCACAGTGGCCAGGGTCCACATTGACCAGGTCATCAAGGCCATTGGCACCAAGCTGTGGAGTAAGAAATGGGAAAGACCAAGTTTCCTGGCTGCCAGAAGATCTACATCTCAAGGAAGTGGGGCTTCACCAAGTTCAGTGCAGATGCATTTGAAGACATGGTCTCTGATGACTGTAGGGTCAAATATGTCCCCAGCTGTGCTCTCCTAGTCAAGTAGTGGGGCCTCTTCTTGTGAGGGCTCCCATTGCACTGAATCTCACACCCTTCCAATCATGTTCACTAATAAATCTCACATCCTAAAA